TGTTACAACCAAGTACACATTTTACCGTTGCGTTAAACAGAGGCTACAGTTAAGGATTTGTGCCCCGTAAATCCTCCCCGGCCAGGATACGGAACCCATGACATAGCGCTCGCGGAACGCCAGGCGAGTGTCTTACCACTACACCCCAGAGACTGTAATCAGCTTATATTTGTGGCAGTCCAGTGAGGGGGGGTCATACTGGACTGTAACAGTGTTAAGCTGGGGTATTGAGTGAAGAGGGAAAGAGTAGAGAGTCGTTGGGATAAGGGTTATTACAACAAGGGTAGCGTTCAGAACTATACAATGGTGGTTATTACACTGACCTGCGAGGGTAAGGTGGCCATGTTTCTGACCTGTGAGGGGAAGGTAGCATATACCCATCCTGTGGATGACAGTGGTCCCCGTACCCATCCTTTGGGCAGTTGTTGGGCCCAGACCCATCCTACAAGTGGTATGGACCCCATACCTATCTAACAGGTGGTAGTGGACCCTATACCCATCCTACAGTAGGTAGTAGACACTATACCATCCTGTTTGCTGTAGTTCACCCCATAGTCATTCCAACGTAACATCGTTTTCTGTTGACGTCCCAACAATACACTCTTTAAAGATTTTTAAAGCACAAACTAGTGTATATAATGTTGATTGGTGAAGCACTTTCATTTTATATAATAAATTATAGTGCTTATTAAAATTTACTAAGAACAACTAATATTTCTCAAAACAAAACTACAAGTCTTCAATAGTATGTAGCAGATCTGTAATATTCTAGGAGCATGGACAGTAATAGGTAAATTTCACAACCCATGTGGGACCTGAAAACTACAATTTTCATTATAATTGAACCAATCACGACTATTCTGCTGCCTACGGCGATGGACGGGTACTGTGAGACGAAAATTGGCACGCGAGGAAGAGTTTGGGCCTTGAAAAAAATATAACTGAGAATATACCACATATGTACTAATTCATAATCAAAATAGTGACTATAAGCAATAAATCATACATGTGCAGTCTTGTGCGAAAGCGAGTTGGTAGGGTAGGCCTAAGAGTCAGTCTCCCTCTGATGCTGGACCTCACCTGTGGTCACGACCCTTGGGTAGGGGAGGCCTGAGAGTCTCCCTCTGGTGCTGGACCTCACCTGTGGTCACGACCCTTGGGTAAGGGAGGCCTGAGTCTCCCTCTGGTGCTGGACCTCTCTGGTGGTCACGACCCTTGGGTAGGGGAGGCCTGAGAGTCGGTTGTCCTCTGGTGCGACCTCACTTTTCTGGCTGTCTCTGCATCTTTTCTTTTCTCCCTGTTCGTTTCTATCTTTCTAAGTGCAATAGATAATTTTACCTAATAAATCCAATAATTAATCATTAGAATTAACGTTTAAAAACTTTTGTTCTAAAACTTTATAACATAACATTAACAACACGTTTTATTAAAACATTGTGACCTCACATTTTATACTCAAATTTACAAATTCTCAAAACATGTGAATAAAACGTAATTTAAAACCTGTGTAAAACAATCAAATGTTTTTAAAAGTTTAGAAAACTAGAACATATTTGGTGCGAATACTCCCCCTTTTTTCATCCTCGAAGGATTTTTGTCCACAGACGTCACATGCCAAGTGATATTGGTCTTGTAATTCATGCTCCAATTCTCTTGGTGATACTCTTTTTTCCAAGATCAGAATGTAATGTTCTATGTATTGAGTGCAGTGCCAACAATTTCAAGGTGCTCGGAGGCATTCGTGCACAAGTGAGCAGAGAATGTGTTTGTGTGATAAAGCTTAGGAGGGATTCAGACCAGTGAGATGCTTCAGTATTATATATACAGTAGCTGTATAATCAATGATCTTCTAGTGACCACTGAGTGCTAACTGGTAAATTTGCTATCAAGTGATTTATTTAATTTAATAAAACTTTAATTACTTTCTCACCTTTGTTTTAATTATCTTTATCATTTGTTCAATTTTCTTAATACCTGTCAATTATGACTATACAAATTCTAGGCGACACACAGAAGAACTGATATTTGATAAATAAACAACATTTCATGAATCTTATTTATGTGCTAATTACAAAAACACTTTACAGTGGTTACAGTGAGTGAATGGTAACTTTGTATGTCAAGACAATTGTGAAGCAAGTTCTATATAAAACTTAACATGTCATCAGAGTCAAGAATTATTCCTTATTTTATTAAATATAACTTAAAGACAAAGAACAAATAATACAGTGGCACCTCGACTTAAGACTGCCCCTACTTACAAATGTTTCGAGTCACAACGTAAATTTCGTCTGAAAATGCGACTCGTCTTACAACCTTAGCCTCAACTAGCGACTCTGTTGATATGCATATGGGTCGACCGATCGCGTGGTTCCTGGTGGCACAGCTGACCCAGCCTCGGTTTACCAGAGCTGCCTGCTTAGTGATGATTGTGCTTGTAAAGAATTTAATTATTTTTGTGCTTTTGTTTGACCATACAAGTAATTATTATATATCATGCCATGGGTCCCAAGAAAGTCAGTGGTAAGGTTCAACCTAAGAAAACACCTGTGAGGATGACCACAGAGGAAAAACCAAAGATCATTCATAAACATGTAAATGGTATGAGGGTTGTTGATGTAGAGTATCGTGAGGTTATCTTGAGATGATTTCGGGGCTTTTTAGTGTCCCCGCGGCCCGGTCCTCGACCAGGCCTCCACCCCCAAGAAGCAGACCGTGACAGCTGACTAATACCCAGGTACCTATTTTACGGCTAGGTAACAGGGGCATAGGGTGAAAGAAACTCTGCCCATTGTTTCTCGCCAGCACCTGGAATCGAACCCAGGACCACAGGATCACAAGTCCAGCGTGCTGTCCGCTCGGCCGACCGACTCCCTAAGACGGCTAGAGTAGACGATGTTCCTTCCTCATTTATTTAGAAAATGTGTGCAGTATGGGAAGAATTGCAAAGTTTTGCTTTAAAGTGTCACCCAAATCAAGCTGTAACAGGCCATTGTGTTAACCTTATTAATGACAATGTGATGTCTCACTTTAGACAAGTGTTACAACATAGGGAAAACATGTATCGCTAGACAGGTTTTTAGTGAGAAAAACAAGCAGTGAGCTACAATCAGGTCCTAGTGGTATGCAGGCAAAATGTAGATGAGAGAAAATACCCCAGAAAAGTCATCACTGCCTGATGTTATAATGGAAGGGGACTTCCCTTCCAAACACTAATACCTCTCCTCCTCCCCTCCTCACCGTCTTCCATATGCCTACAAGAGTCCTCATTCGAGGTAAGATATACATACAGTACTGTATTGTAGCTAGTACAAAATAAGTGTTATTCAGTATAAAATGTATTTTTAAGTTAATATTTTTGGGGGTGTGAAACGGATTAATTCATTTTACATTATTTCTTACTGGAAAATTCGTTTCGACTTACGAATTTTCAACTTATGACCCATCTCTGGGAATGGATTAAATCCATAAGTTGATGCCCCACTGTGTGTGTGTGTGTGTGTGTGTGTGTGTGTGTGTGTGTGTGAATGTATGTGTATATGTGTGTGTGTGTGTGTGTGTGAATGTATGTGTATATGTGTGTGTGTGTAATTACCGAAGTGTAGTTACAGGATGAGAGCTACGCTCGTGGTGTCCCATCTTCCCAGCACTCTTTGTCATATAATGCTTTGAAACTACTGACGGTCTTGGCCTCCACCACCTTCTCACCTAACTTGTTCTAACCGTCTACCACTCTGTTTGCGAAAGTGAATTTTCTTATATTTCTTCGACATCTTTGTTTGGCTAGTTTAAATCCATGACCTCTTGTTCTTGAAGTTCCAGGTCTCAGGAAATCTTCCCTATCGATTTTATCAATTCCTGTTACTATTTTGTACGTAGTGATCATATCACCTCTTTTTCTTCTGTCATCCAGTTTTGGCATATTTAATGCCTCTAACCTCTCCTCGTAGCTCTTGCCCTTCATTTCTGGGAGTCACTTAGTAGCATGTCTTTGCACCTTTTCCAGTTTGTTGATGTACTTCTTAAGATATGGGCACCACACAACCGCTGCATATTCTAGCTTTGGCCTAACAAAAGTTGTCAACAATTTCTTTAGTATATCGCTATCCATGTATTTAAAAGCAATTCTGAAGTTAGAAAGCATGGCATAGGCTCCTCGCACAATATTCTTTATGTGGTCCTCAGGTGATAGTTTTCTATCTAGAACCACCCCTAGATCTCTTTCTTTATCAGAAATCTTTAAAGATTTCTCACATAATATATAGATTGTGTGGTGTCTATGTTCTCCTCTTCCACATTCCATAACATGGCATTTATTAACATTAAATTCCATTTGTCAAGTGTTGCTCCATATACTTATTTTGTCCAGGTCATCTTGAAAGGCATGACAATCATATAAGTTTCTTATCCTTCCTATTATCTTAGCATCATCAGCAAACATGTTCATATAGTTCTGTATACCAAATGGTAGATCATTTATGTAGACAATAAACATCACTGGTGCAAGAACTGAACCCTGTGGTACTCCACTTGTGACATTTCTCCATTCCGATACATTGCCTCTGATTACTGCCCTCATTTTTCTATCAGTCAGAAAATTTTTCATCCATGTTAAAAGCTTACCTGTCACCCCTCCAATATTTTTCAGTGTCCAGAACAACCTCTTATGTGGAAATCTGTCGAAAGTCTTTTTTTAGGTCCGGATAGATGCAGTCAACCCATCCATCTCTTTCATGTAATATCTCTGTGGCTCAATCATAGAAACTGAGTAAATTCGATACACAGGATCTTCCAGATCGAAAACCATACTGTCTGTCTGATATTATATCATTTCTCTCCAGGTGTTCTACCCATTTAGTTTTGATTTGTGTTTCCAATACTTTCACTATTACACTTGTCAATGATACAGGTCTATAATTGAGGGGGTCTTCCCTACTGCCACTTTTGTAGATTGGAGCTGTTAGCCTGTTTCCACACGTCTGCTACGATTCCTGTACACAGAGATGCCTGAAAGATCTGGTGAAGTGGAATGCTGAGCTCAGATGCACATTCTCTCAGAACCCATGGTGAAAGTCCATCTGGGCCAACTGCTTTGTTCTTACTGAGCTCCTTTAGCATATTTTCCACTTCATCTCTAGACACCTCTATATGCTCTATGTTGTTCTCTGGAATTCTTATTGTGTCTGGTTCTCTGAAGATTTCATTTTGTACAAACACACTTTGGAACTTTTCATTTTATGTTTCACACATTTCCTTTTCATTTTCCGTGAATCTGTTTCCCATTTTCAACCTCTGGATATTATCCTTTACCTGCAATTTGTTGTTTATGAATTTGTAGAATAGGCCCGGTTCTGTTTTACATTTATCTGCTATCCCTTTTTCAAAATTTCTTTCTGTCTCTCCTTACTGCTGTATAGTTGTTTCTCGCATCTTTGTATCGCTAGTATGTTTGGGGGTTTGGCCTCTTCCTATACTGATTCCATTTTTGTGTCTTTTGGTCTCTGGCCCTCTCACAATGCCTGTTGAACCAATCCTGTTTTCTGGCCCTGCAATTCTGTTTTGGTATGAATGTTTGTGTGCCTTCCTCGTATATTTTGCAAAATTTGTGTGTGTGTGTGTGTAATTACTTAAGTGTAGTTACAGGATGAGAGCTATGCTCGTGGTGTCCCGTCTTCCCAGCACTCTTTGTCATATGACGCTTTGAAACTACTGACGGTCTTGGCCTCCACCACCTTCTCACCTAACCTGTTCCAACTGTCTACCACTCTGTTTGCGAAAGTGAATTTTCTTATATTTCTTCGGCATCTGTGTTTAGCTAGTTTAAATCAATGACCTCTTGTTCTTAAAGTTCCAGGTCTCAGGAAATCTTGCCTATCGATTTTATCAATTCCTGTTACTATTTTGTATGTAGTGATCATATCACCTCTTTTTCTTGTCTTCTGTGTGTGTGTGTGTGTGAAAATATATATATATATATATATATATATATATATATATATATATATATATATATATATATATATATATATATATATATATATATATATGAATGACAGTGTCAGACCACGGAGGAAAATTGAAACAGAAATTTCCTTAAGTACTTTCATATATTAATACATCTTCAGAAGGAGTGATTTTACAGGTCAAGTATTGGACATAAATAGGCATGAGAGAATGGTGGAGTGAGGTGAGGTACAATAACAAATGAATGGGAATTAGGTGGACACAAATATGAGCCGCACAAGAAATGCTGAAGGCCTATTGGCCCATACGATGCAGCTCCTATCCATACCCACCAACAGGCCCACACATAGATTATAATAGCATAAGATAGGTAA